AAGAGTTATTATGGAGACACTCATTCCAGTGATCCCCAGCTTTTGTTTCAGAGATTCTAGTTTATCCAAGGCCTCTGGTAATGATTCTGCCATGGAAATGGCAAACACCATTTTTCCCTCGTCCTGGTTCAACAACTGAGCTGAGATTCCTATCTCCTGAATGATCTTCGATGAATCACACCATGGTTTTACCGATAGTGTCACCTCCACTTGACCATCCCCGTACAACTTCTTCAGGAACATTGAAGTTCCATAACTTTTCAATCTTCCTGTGTGCATTATTGCTATTCTGTCCCCAAGGATATCAGCCTCCTCCATGTCGTGTGTGCTTATTATTATCGTTTTCTCACCCCTCATTTTGAGGACAATGTCCCAAACCTCCCGTTTACTCTCAGCATCCATTCCAGAGGTCGGTTCGTCCAGGATCAAGACGTTGGCGTCACCTATTACAGCCATCGCTAGGCAGAGTCTTCTCTTCTGTCCCCCTGACAACTGCTTCGGAATGAAATTACGTTTTTCTTCGAGGTTGACTTTATCCAGTAGAATTTCAATTTCTTCCTCGAGTTCTTGCTTGCTTTTCTTCTCTGCTTTGAGGGTTCCAAAGAAGTTGAGCTGTTGATAGACTGTTAAATCTGGGAAAACCATGTTCTCTTGGGGGCATAAACCGATGTTGTTTTTTATGGCGTCAGGGTCTCGTTTGATGTTCTTGCCGTCTATGAAGACTACACCTTCAGATAAGCTTGTCAGACCTGAGAGGATAGACATCATTGTTGTCTTCCCTGCACCATTGTGACCCAGCAGAGCTGTTATCTGGCTTTTGTAGAAGTCCATTGAGACTCCCTTCAATGCGTAGACCATCGACTGTCTGAACCAACTAGTTGAGTAGACTTTCTTCAATCCTCTGAGTCTTATTCCTGGCTCCAGATCTCCCTCAGGGACATTTTCAAACTCTCGTTTTATGATTTTTGTCTTCTCAAAATCAATTTTGTTCTCGTCGTCCTCGACTTTGTGACGATTTTGGAAGAAGAAGAAGGGGTTTTGACTGACTCCGTATTTACCCGGACGCACAGCGTAGATGTAGACGGCCATGTAGAAGTTGAAGAGAATACCGATGATTGAGAAGATCAACATGACTCCGATGCTACCTTCGGCGGGGGCGTCTAGGCTACCGGTGATGAACATGTTGGACCATCTTGTACCGATGAGTTTACCCTCGTAGACTGTTATTTCTTCGAACATCCGCTTTAGGAGGATGTTTGGGCAGATTACACCCACGTAGAGGAGGAAGTGGCGGAATGCCAGACCGGTGGCGAAACGGGCGATGTTGTTCAGGATGACGAGGAACATGAAGGTGGCAAATATTCCATGGGACGCTGAAAGGAAGGAAAAAGGCAAGATTAATAATAGCCAGGGGATTTTTTTTAAAGGCCCGGGTGGATTATCTTTCGAACGTGGTCTTGCTTGTTTATTTTATTTTGATAATCTGAAATGGTCTCCAATTGCTATTCAGTTTTACATAGCCCTGGAGTCTCCAAAAATTATGGTTGTACAATCAAAAAAACGTTGAAGAAAAGCTGAATATTTTCAAAGAGCTTTTGAATAGTGTTGGGAAATAAACCCGATAGAAAGGAAATTGCAAATTAATAATTTGATGTATGCAATGGCTGTTAAGACGTCATTTGTCACAGTAGTCAATGGCTGTTAGATCGTTAGTTACCACGATAAATTATCTATTCACCATTTCCTCACTATCGGACTTAATTCTTAATCTTTATTAAAAACGCTCTTTGAAGGGAACACGCTTCTTGATCCGCGGACAAAATCTCCGCGACAAAACTGAAGATAATTTCTCCAGCGACAATCGTATTGTTGATATCTGATCTGCCGTCAATTTATCCTTGGTACATTAGATCCGTCGATAATTATCCGATATTTCATGTGTTTACAATTCCGGATGGTAAACAGTAACGAGCGAGCCGATGACCCCCTCGCGTTTCGATTCGAATCAAATTCACCACTTCACAATGTTTCCCCATTTGTTTTATCACCGATAGCCAGGTTAGCTCACACGAAATTTGCTTTTAATTCACTATTATACTAATTCAGTATTATGAAATTTGAATTTAATTTGATTTTAGTTCAGTATGATTTGTAATTTTGTGTTGATTATAATGTATACTTATCAATCGTAATAGCGGGCTTCTATGAATCGAGGGGAATTTGTTTGCTGAAGTGGCGGAAGCATTGTAATTGTATGTAAAATATGAGTTATCGAATTGAAAATTACAAATTAAATGTTATGTCTAAATTGTGAGTTAATTTTTTCTTTTTTGCACTTGATATTATTTCAAAAGAGGATGAAAGCTGAATGAAATCTCCGGCAAATTTGTCGGTGATTATTTTGTACTTCGGAAATAATGGATGTGAGGGAAATTGTCGGTGGAAAATTTGTCAATGGATAAATTGTCGGTTATTTTGTCGTGAAAATTTTGTCCGCGGATCGAAAGTTACGGAATCTTTGAATGGCGAATTATTTGACAGGACGAAATAATACCCAAAATTTTGATGACATTTCAATTGATGATAGTACTGTGACATAAATAATAGAAGAAGACAATAATGAAATGAGAGTTATAAAAAGAGAACCTATTCGGAAGAAAATTGTTAATTTATTATTGTCCACTTGTTTAATATTTAACTATCTCACTGATGAGTAACTTCAGATATTATCAATTAAGTGTAGAAACTGGGGGGATGGATATTATTATGGATTAGTATTTATGGCTCCGACCTGAAAAGTGCTGACCGAATTATTCGAGTTATATTCCATTCAGGGGATTTCACAGTTTTTCATTACGAAGAACAAGAGTATACTTTGAGTAAGTATTTTATTTATAATTGACGAACTTCTAGGTCAATGTCTTCCAAAATTTTACAATAAATAAAAAGAAATCAAATCACATTATTTCACAGGAAGTAGTGATCTCATTTATGAAAAAACGTCGTTTCAGTGTTTTGTTGATTGATTAAACAACAAAAACTGCTGAGTCATTGTTTTCCAAAATTTCATCATGTGTACTTTACAGAAAGACATATAAATTGCAATTTTTAAAATTCAAATCACATAATTTCGCACAAAGAAATCACGCCATTTGTGAAAAAACATGATTTTTTTACGATTTTTCACGCCCCAATCAGAGACGTTCTCGACCTTATGTTTTTAATTTATTCAAATTCCTTTGAGCCATGATTAAGTCAACAGCAAAAAAAACGTTTTTCACGGATTTTTTGCGAATAACTAAAAAACCTAACTGACAATCTAATCTGTTTTAAGTTTGATACATACACACACATTCACACATTCAAACCGGTCTCTAAAAAGAGTCGGGAGAATTTCTAAAAATCATGCAATTTTCACATTCGATTGTCGGAATCACAAAATAAATTCCTCCCCTCGGGCCGGAAATTAAAAATTTCTTTGAAATCTTTAAATTCCGAGACACACAGCAGAAAATGTAAATCTCAATGGGATATACTCCTCTTCTTTACAACTTTCCTACCGACTGACTCACTTTCAAATTGTGATTACTCATCAGGTACTTACGTTTCCAAAAATATGATGACAGATGATATCCAAAAGCGAGCACATGCCAGCAGTGAATAAACAACACCAGCCACACAATAAACGGATTGCCATACGTCAAAAACGGAACAACTTGTGGTGGCATAAAATGTTTCATAATCAGCACAATTGGAGCCAGATAGCAGGTGCTAAAAATCGCCCCACTTATCAACCAGCTGAAGAGATTCATCTTAGTGCTGACTCCATTCACAGACATCAGAATATTGATTCCAATGTATTTCTCATTTGCGGGAAATGAGATCTCGATGCAGAGAATGATCAGAAAAATAAATCTTATGATCTCTGCAAAAGTGTCTCCCCCAATAGTAGTTCCTCTGTCGACCCTAGTGTAGGGTGGATAAGGCATTTTCTGAATTGAGATTTCTGGTTTGTACTTTTTCACTTTCGAGATACTTGCAGTGGAAACCCAGTTGATGAAGGCCTCGTCCAGGCACAATTGCAATGGAACTATGGGCGATCCCATTACAATATCATCAGCGAGATCCCCATTCTCCTCAGGATCGTACAATTCCTTTCTGAGAGCGCTACCCATTCTAATCTTGTATTTAAAATTATTTGGTATCGAATTATTGACAACAGTCTCAAAAACAACACCCAGTGCATCGACATGATCTTTATTGGCCACTTGATCCCTCGTTAAATCCTTTATCATTGTCTCTTCAGTCGGAGCACCATTTACATTGGACTCTGGAAGCTGAAGGCACGTCCGTGTGTAGTGCATCAGATCTATCGTTGCACTATTCTCGGGTGTAAAACGAACTGTCGTATCTCTATGGATCATGCTTAAGATCTCCTTTTTAGATTCAATCTCATAGTAGGTAGTTGTATTGATGAATTTGGCTGAATTGTCAGTCATCAATCTGACTGTTTGTCCGATCAGAAATAACGCTATTGGGATCAGTATCTGGGCTATCAGGGATTGGACCCAGCGCTTCTTGCGAACCAAGAAGTTCTTCTTGAGGAGGAGAAAAAATATTCCCACATTCCCTGCCATTTTTGTATGTCTCTTCAGTTCTGATTGCGATTCATGGGATTATGTAGTACGTGAAGCGAATAGTACGAGCAGCAGGTAGTACGTGAAATAAATAGTACGTGATGAAAGACGGGCTTGCATGTTATCTGAAATGAAGAACATCGGTTAGAAGTTTTTTAACTTTGTATCGAAAGTTTTTTTTTTAAACCCTTATTGGCGAATGGCATTTTTAAGAACTCTGATTGCAGACCTCGTTTTCATCTCGATCTATAAAATTCACATTTATCAAAACTGTCATTTTCCGCCTAGTACGTTAATATTCTTTCTAAAAAAACATAGGCAACATCTCGAATCGAAAATGAGATCTCGAACATGGCGGATATCTCAAACGAATAGAGAAAANCTAGTGTAGGGTGGATAAGGCATTTTCTGAATTGAGATTTCTGGTTTGTACTTTTTCACTTTCGAGATACTTGCAGTGGAAACCCAGTTGATGAAGGCCTCGTCCAGGCACAATTGCAATGGAACTATGGGCGATCCCATTACAATATCATCAGCGAGATCCCCATTCTCCTCAGGATCGTACAATTCCTTTCTGAGAGCGCTACCCATTCTAATCTTGTATTTAAAATTATTTGGTATCGAATTATTGACAACAGTCTCAAAAACAACACCCAGTGCATCGACATGATCTTTATTGGCCACTTGATCCCTCGTTAAATCCTTTATCATTGTCTCTTCAGTCGGAGCACCATTTACATTGGACTCTGGAAGCTGAAGGCACGTCCGTGTGTAGTGCATCAGATCTATCGTTGCACTATTCTCGGGTGTAAAACGAACTGTCGTATCTCTATGGATCATGCTTAAGATCTCCTTTTTAGATTCAATCTCATAGTAGGTAGTTGTATTGATGAATTTGGCTGAATTGTCAGTCATCAATCTGACTGTTTGTCCGATCAGAAATAACGCTATTGGGATCAGTATCTGGGCTATCAGGGATTGGACCCAGCGCTTCTTGCGAACCAAGAAGTTCTTCTTGAGGAGGAGAAAAAATATTCCCACATTCCCTGCCATTTTTGTATGTCTCTTCAGTTCTGATTGCGATTCATGGGATTATGTAGTACGTGAAGCGAATAGTACGAGCAGCAGGTAGTACGTGAAATAAATAGTACGTGATGAAAGACGGGCTTGCATGTTATCTGAAATGAAGAACATCGGTTAGAAGTTTTTTAACTTTGTATCGAAAGTTTTTTTTTTAAACCCTTATTGGCGAATGGCATTTTTAAGAACTCTGATTGCAGACCTCGTTTTCATCTCGATCTATAAAATTCACATTTATCAAAACTGTCATTTTCCGCCTAGTACGTTAATATTCTTTCTAAAAAAACATAGGCAACATCTCGAATCGAAAATGAGATCTCGAACATGGCGGATATCTCAAACGAATAGAGAAAATAAGGCGGTTTTCATGAGTACAATCGTCTTGCGCCGAATTTTCATGAAGCCCGACTAACGAACAAAAGAGAATTCAGTACCATTCTACGAAACATGGATAAACGAATCATAATTATCCAAATCATTTAGATAAGAGGAAATAGTAGATTATGTCATCCGGCGATAAAAGTATTATCTGGCGAATGTGGCTTTATAATCCGAGCCGAAGGCGAGACACATCACATTCGCCAGATAATGCTTTTATCGCCGTGTGACATATGATACTTCATGTCGTTGGACAAAGCGAGCAAAGCGAGGTTAGAATTGCGGTTTATCGGGCCTAATGACATAAATAGAATAATTTAACTTTTTCAATATTGCGCTTACTAAGGCTTTCTTCGATCAAAATTGATTAGAATTAATAGCTAGAATTATGAGATTATCTCACATTTTTTACGTCAACGATAGGAAAATGTCAATGCGATATAGGTAGTGAAAATGATGATAGATTTTGTCACTTCGAACAAATAATATTAATATCCAAACACAAAATTTCTGATATGAATAAAAAGAAGCTGTGACTCAAAATTCCAAATTAAGTTTCAATTTTCAATTTGGTGCTGAAAACACGAGATGATAATATTCCGAACACGTAATTATATTGATGAGATGAACAACAGATTAATTGAATTTACGTATGAACCAACTGAAAATTGATAAGTGTGAGCACGCCAGATACAACAAATATTTAATTCCAGAAATTCACATTCTAAAGTGTGTTCTAGAGTCAAGGATGTGTGAATATTCAATTTGACAACAGAACTCGTTTTTGTGGCATTTTTCGAGTAAAATTGAAGGAAATCACGTGAATGATGACGTATCTGAGAACAACTCATTAAGGAGAACAAGTTTCATTGAGGTGAAAAATGCGGTTGCCATTTCAAAAGAAGTACTTTCAGGATTATGCTTGCAAGCTGCAAGCATATTTATTTTGAGCTGAAAGCTCAAAATAATGCATGCATCGAATGTCCCCCTCGGAACCCTACAACTTGTGTTTCGAACATTTTTTTGTTACTTGGCCGCCTTAGGAGATATTTGGCTGCTTTGTTTCAGATGGGACACCCTATATATTAGGCTGAAGCCAGCGGGAGCAACTCAGCAGGAGTTGGGTGTAGTTTATGAGGGGGATTGTACGGCTTCCATTATAGCGTGTCTCTCACGCTACATAGGTACACGTATGAAAAAACGCTATAGGATTTCCTATAGGATATCCTATAGGAAATTCTATGGAGAGTTCGAACATTTTCTATAGGATTTTTCTGATAGGATTTCCCACAGGATTTCCTACAGGATTCCCTATAAAATTTCCTATCAGATTTATGACCGTAATCCTGACCCGTGTGACCAATTGGTTTCGAGTCTCAATTTTGTGTGTTACTTTCTATAGAAAACCCTATGATGAATTCTATAGGAAATCCTATAAAAATCCTATAGGAAATCCTGTAGGAAATCCCACCAGAAAAATGCTATAGGGAATGTTTGAATTCTCCATAGGATTTTTTCATACATGTAGCCACGAGTTTAATCCCCCAAGCCAATTAAATAACAACAAATAATTATTGCAAATATTTCTATACTTGAAATTTTTTTCTAATGTACATGGAGGGTGGGAGAAGACTTCTGGGGGGGATCCGGCGATTTTTAATTACTTCTATGAGGTAAATAGGGGTGCAAGTGAACGCAAACACTTATCGTATCGCATTTTTTTGAAAAGGCACCTGCAGGGTTGGAGAAGTCCTGAATAAGCCATTTCGTGGTACGTTAATTAGATATTTTCAATTAATTTTTAATAGTTATTGGTATTGTATTTCTATTAGAAATTCTATCAGTTTTCTTGCTAATTCTATTGAAAAATTCGGCCGCTTTTATGGGTATTTTTTTCAACAGGAAATGTTTGATAGAAACTATTTTATTGAAAAAATCGATAGGAATTCACCTTTTTATATATCTTAATTTATTGACATAGTTTTAAGAATAAGATAAAACTAGTACATTTAGAAACAGTTTAATGGTAAGCGTGAATGTTTACCGAGTTTTTGTAATCGTTGAATATTTGAATATTCGAATAGAAAAATAAATATATGAATATTCCGTTAGAAAGATATAATAGTACATTGTAGACCGAGTGCGGAAAGTCATGTTTTCCCCGCTCGAAGTGCACACTGAGAAAAAAATTAGTTCTGTCGAAAAATTATATGTTCCCCTGAAGAGATCTTTTGGTGTGTTGAAACAACTGACTTGTGGACAAAAAATAAAATTTCGACCAAAACTAATGAGTCAATTTCACTGCTGAGTATAAGTCTCGTGGAATATTTCAGAAGACAAGGAAAATAGCAAAATTTGCATAGATATGAGGCCATGAGCGGGAGCACTCGACCATTCAAGACATACGTATGTCCTTAATTACTATATTCTTGCATTATAGTGCACTTTGCATTTCCAACAAGAATCTGCAATGAACGGTCTATTCATTCGAATAATATTCATGGGGACAATTTTTGCAATTCTTGGAAACGTATGAGAAAAGTAAATAAGGGGGCATTCAAATATTACGTTACACGATTAAAGAGGAAGGGGATCAGTAGATCCCCAGATTGCGATGTCATACTGTATTATTTTTTCATTTTTCATCGAGGAAGTCGCAAATGCAATTTTGTTCCCGTCCCCTTTTTTCACAAATAAAAAAGGTTTCACCAAACCTTCAAACCTTATTTTTTTATGCATGAAATCAATTCCTGGTAAAATTCTAAATATGAATAATCAATTAATTACGATTCCCAATAAATGATTTTTATGATAGAAAATTGATTGCTCATAAATTATTTATAAAAAATGCTCACAATTTTAAAAAATGTCAATTTTTTAATTATTTCATCAATCTCCTTTTAAAAGTAGATGTACAATTTTTTTTAGATTCTTTAAATGTTTTCTAAAGGTTCAATATCGAGATTATATTTCAGATCTGCAAAATTTAAATAATAAAGTCTCCGTAAACTTAGATTCAAATGGAGCTCAAATTAAAGCTCTGATATTCGACTACAAAATATAAAAAAATTTCATCGGAGAAAAACTAGCCAAGTACTTGAATAGGGAAGGGTGGGGTAAAACGGACACTTTAGACTTTTTTAAAATGATTCATAACTCAGAAAAAAATTGATCAATTGAGCTCAGTTTAGGCTCGTCACAAAAGGAAAGAATTGTTCTTTGTATTGAAAGAAAAATTATTAAATTTTATCAATATTTCAACCCCTCATTAACATTTTAAAAAAATCAAAAGTGCCCGTTTTACACTCCTGCTTCCTCTATCCTTAATTTCCCGCGGAATTCTTAGTGGTCCAGTAGGAATTTAATCGAATTCCCTATCGAAAAAGCTACCTTTTTTATTTTTTTACACTACCTTTTTTGCATCCTTGTGACTATTTTTACAAACAAATCTCAAAAATTTCTGTATCTCCCCGAGGTTCGCAGGTATTTATCAAAAACTCACCTAAAAGTTAAACTGACTTATCTCCTTTAAGCAGTACCGAACTACTTCCCACGTTCAATCTAGTTTCTATTATGAATGCACAGGAGACGAAATTAAAAAAAAATCATAAGAAAAATCTCTGATGAATGCGAACGAACATTTTTCGAAATTTATTTAAAAAGTAGAAAGACTATTTAAGGAGTAGATGACCCGGGTTCACTACATCAATAATGGAATGAGCTAAAGAAAACTGCTATGGTAGTTGGCATTCTATACCATCTGCCTGAATTGGTATTCAATACCACTTTCAAAGTCAAATGTTGACGATGCAAAAATATGGTGCGTGTTGTGTTTCTATGGAAACATGAGTCACTTGTCAGCAATTATTATCAAATATCCATGAGGGTCACCTTTCGAAATGACAAACGAAAATAACTGGACGCTAATAAAATGTTGCAAACAATTACTGTAAAACTTATTTGTCAGAGATCTCAATATATAAATGCAAAAATCTGATGACAAATGCGCGTCATGTGACTGAGAAAATGTTGTCCTAATTAGAATTAACTCATACCAGATAGTTGACGACGAGCTCCTTGACACAACGGCTATCCACAAAAACATTGTTCTTCGATGATTTCTCTGTTTATCTTAATCTACTAACTGTTAATACTATCGGTTGTCCATTCTTTTCGTTGCACTGATCATGTCACTCACAAACAACATCCGGAGCATTAGATCAATATCACTACATTCGAGTGACGTTTTGTTTTAATGACGTATATACTGGCACAGAAAATTGGGATGAAGTGCACAGCACAATGCAGCTGCACCCATTCGCAAAGACCTCATTTCCACAGTGGCAGCTGGCACTATACGACAATGGGAACAAGCATTCGGTGAGCAATGACGGAATCCACTTTACCATCAGTATGTTAGAAGTTTAAATGGTAAGAAGTTCCCTATGTTCTATGAAGGCTGGGTAAAGGGCTCTACTTTGCAGTCTGTTCGAATCCTCCCATTTACTAAAGATGAAAGAAACGTGAAGTTGTTTTCTATCGAAATATCTCGAAAAAAAAACACGGCATTTTCAAATTCTTCAGTGGTAAATTTTTTTTTCACGTTATATATATATATATATATATATATATATATATATATATATAATATATATCATCGGTGAAATTAATAAATTCTGTCCTTTTATGGAGACCGATTATTTAAAAAAATTGAAGATAATTAATTGAAAATGAAAAATTCTTTATAGATTCTTTTACTCTACTTCGCTATTCACTTCAATCATTAGTCAAATTCTCTTTAATTCATTATCAATATTTATAAGGTATTCATGAGAAAATGAAATTCAATGAATTCCATTTCTTCATTTCAACACATGAATAGATAAGCGCGCGCGAAAGCGCGCGCACAGATCTTGTATTCAGAATTTGAAAATGACAGTTTCGTTCAGACCTGAGTAGAGCCCCGGATCGGGGGGTTTGACTGACTCCAAAAAAGTTAGTTGGTACCCCACGGGAAAGGCGGCGTTCCGGTCGAATTGTCGGTAAATGTGAGTCGGGTGCGTGTCCCGCTGTGACAGGGACAGGTTCGGAGGGGGACTTTTGTCCTCATTGTACTCAATGTACTCAATGTTTACTTTATGTTTTTCAGTTGATTTATTTGCCGATTATAATATTATTTTTTTTATTGCAGAGATTAAGGGATGGAACGGGGCTTGATGGATGGGGGATTTAATTCTCCATTGACCTGTCTTTGTATCATCCCTTAATGTTAAGTAGTCGGCAAATAAATCAACTGAAAAACATAAAGTAAACATTGAGTACAAGGAGGACAAAACTGCTCCTCCGAACTTGTCCCTGTCAAAGCTGGACTGCTACTCCCGAGTTACTCGCGCACCCGACTTACATTTACCGACAATTCGACGCCGCCTTCTCCGTGGGGTACCAACTAACATTTTTGGAGTCAGTCAAACCCCCCGATCCGGGCCTCTACTCAGGTCTATCCTCTTTGGTAGTGCAGTTATCGAGGTACTTTGGCTCCGACCGTTTTGGCTCTTACCTTTGTCGACGTAAGATGTCCCCACCGCATCCTTCCCACTTCACTCGTCCATCAAAGAGCAGATGGGCCAGTCAGAGTGAGAGGGAGCGCAGTTTAGACGTATTTGCGTTGCACGGATCCTTTTTGAATGAGTGTGTGTGCTATGAATGCACCGATTGTTGGAATCAAGTATCGTGCGTTCATATTTACAAATAAAATTGTGAAATAATACCCGAGGTATCAAATATAACAACACACCACCTGCCAACCTTTTTCGCACGAGAGTGCAGGTTAATTAGGCAAAAAGAGATTGAAATAATCCGCAGTCACGTCTTCCGTTCAACGGTGAGTCTTATTTTCATTTCTTTTTTCTTCAATTACAAATTCTATTTATAGGGACTATTTCATAATGCAAACATATACATTGTCACGTTCTCCCGGCTTTGTGCGTAACCAACTGTCGAGTGTAATTTTCATCGTTGAAAGGGGATGAATCTCCTTCAATTTTCGTTTGCTTGCGTTATGCTGTTGCGGTTTTCTACGTGCATGATGATGTCACATAAGTGAATTGACGTGTTTACCACACAACCGTTACAACCTTCGCTATGTAAAACAGTATTTGCATAATGAGAAACTGGCATGTCGAAAGCTACTTGAAAATCCTTCAAATTTATTGGGCAAACATTTCGGTCATTCTCGGCGTGCGATTAAATGAAGATATAAAAACAGATGAGGAACGAAAAATAACTGGTCCTTAATGTTTTCGGGGGGTCTAGGGGGGCATAGGGAGCGCCGAAAAGACAGAGGAAGGGCTCGCTGGGTGGAACATTTCGGGAGGCGCACTATTTTTAGATATTCTTAAATATGTACTTCATGTGTAGCTCAATAACTGCAGTCTCTAGACAGTTTTCACACTGGGGTATTACTCTCGCATGTCAATTACTTCCAAGGGTTCTTGGTCAGTTTTTCAGGGAGTTATGGATAGTGAACAGCATCACTATGAGCTGAGGAGTAGGAGTAGATCAAGGTCACATACTCCAATGATCTTTAATCAGTTAATGACAGAGTCTGAATCGGCAGAACACCATTATGACTTGAGGAGCCGGGAGAGCAGGGAGAGATCACACACACCCGGTGAAGTTACGAGCAGCAGACGATCCGGATCGAGATCTCTGTAAGTTGATTTTAATTTGAGGATTGCTGGACGGTTAAGGGAAATTCGAGGTTCGTGGTAGGATCTAAAATAAAAGAATCACCTAAATGGGGATTGGTGGCTTCCATACCCTCGAGAATGTTTTAATTAACAGAAAAAGATTGTTTGAAGAGAAAATAATAAAACAAAGAATAATTAAGTCAAGAAATAGTTGAACTGGGCCATTTTTTTATTTATTTCTTAAATGTCGATCAATAGAAAAAATAATTGATCACATGATTGTGCACGAGTAATATTATTGACAGGTGATATAATCAGTACAATTTTCATTTTATTTATCGAATTTTCAATGCAGGTTGAAATCGCCCAGAAACTAACCCCCGTCCAAAAATTGACCTGTTTACCCTACTTTGGGTATTTTTGCTTTCGAATGGAAGCATTTTAATTGTCCAATTTTTGACAGTCTCTAATTTTTACGGGGAATGATGTAGAATGGTCTGAAACGTAAAAATACGAACACGCATACAAAAATTCAATAGAGAAACTTAGCGAATTCGTAAGAAAATTCTTTTGAAATTCCCTAAACATTCTATTGGGACTTTATTAAAATTGTAGGAAATTTTCGTTAAAATTTTATTTGTTTTTCGTATCTCCACAAAATGTTCTTATAAAAATTTTGGTTAATATTTGTTCATCAAAAATATTGAGCAAAAATTAATATTCGTAATGTGGGAGTGAGAGATATTTATCAACGAATCATTTTGAAATCCAGGAAAAAAAGATGAGCCAATTTCAGAAGAAGATAAATCTTAGAAAAATAGGAGAGGAGTCTGAGAGGAATACACGAACTTTTATGAAATTTTCTCAAAATTTTCTCTTACAAATTTTCCTATCTTCCTTAGATTCACAGATAATAATCAATGACTCACTCTCAAATTGAATAGAAATGGATGACTTGAGATCACACTTGAAGATTAGTCTCAGAACCATATCTTGGAATCTGAGAAGGATAACGAAACGTAGATAAAATCTAGTTATCCCCTTACGTTCAGAAATGAAACAAACCGTAAAATTGAGGTGAATTTAAGGGGAGACGTCGGTGAAATTTAAAAGTCTTCACTGGGCCTTGAGGCCCATTGAACAGTTTGTGATATATGACGAAATAGGGGAATAACTAGGGAAAATTGCGGACCCGATCGATTTTACCCCTTATAATGACAAAAAACTTCTTGTTCTTCAGTTTTCACCTTCAAAATGCTCCTTGCGCCGTAGTTTTCATACGATTTTATGTTTTTTTAATCTTCGTTGCACTCCAAAGAATAAATTTCAGCATCCATTTTACTTTATTTGCAATAGATCATAAACAAATGAATTTTGAATTTCATACATTTTTCGTGTCTCTAGAGTACAGTAAAATTTATGAAATTAAAAATTCCTTTGTTCATGATCTATAACTTAACTTTATTCTTTGGAGTATAACGAATATTTAAAAAAAGCTAAAATCGTACGAAAATTACGGTGCAAGGAGCATTTTGAAGATAAAAACAGGAAAAAATGAAGCTTTTCGTGATTATACGGGGCAAAATCGATCGGGTCCGGGATTTTCCCTAGTTATTCCGAGGGGCTACTCACTCCCGAAATCACGGCACCACTCTGGCATGAAATCATTCCGAAATTACGTAAAATCGCCTGAAATCAATGAAATCACCGAAATCAGTAGCGCACTGGCGTAATATGAACCGTGCTGGTAATTCTTGATTTTGAAATTGACAAACCTGCCAACGATGGTAATAAAATACCGTACTCACTGCCATAGTAAAATGGTAAAATGGACCGCTTTTCATTAGGTCAAGATTGATGGAATAGAATCAAATGAATTCGTTATTATTTGCCAGTTTTGATTTTCATAATTTGACACAGCCCGTTTTGCCCCATCTCTATTATTTATTCACTTTATGTTTCTGAAATCACTGATTTGGAATTAATGAAACCATTCGAAATCATGAAATGAGCTCCCACAACGCTCGAAATCACCGAAATCATTTTTTCTGAAATCTTGCTTCACGTGTGAAAGGTTCCGAGTTCAAAACCCGGCCGGGTAGAATGGTGAGATCTAACCATTTCAAGTCTTGATCATCATCGTAGCATACCCTAACCGGGTCAAAGCGATGTAAAATAACGATAAAACAAAAATTTCCGAAATCACTGAAATCACCGCGAAATCACCCGAAATCGACGTCATTTCGAAATCACGGTATCACTCAATTATGGAGTGAGTAGCCCCTCGAGTTATTCCCATATTCCGTCATATATCACAAATTGTTCAATGAGTCAAAGCCCAGTAAAGACTTTTAAATTTCGCCGACGTATCCCCTTAAATATCTTTAGACTATCTTTAGTGGTCGATAACTGAAGATTGCCAAAGAAGTTAGTGTGAAAAAAACACTCAATCGACAGGCAATTATTATTAATACTAATTAATTTAGAGGCACCGAATAACACAGAATCCAGAAAAAATGAATAAAAATTCTATGTCCAATCCAAAATTTAATGTTCCTTACACTCATCAAAATTGAAATTCATAAAAAAATGATCAATGATAGCTAATTATTTTATTGTGCATTTTCAATTAACTTTCTCTTGTCAGAATCAACGCCTCAACGGCAGCACGAATGTTCATATTACTTTAAGCTTCGGAATTGAAGAAAATTTATGCATGTTGTATCGTTGAATCAGCACATTTTCTTGTCTTCTCCAATTCTGCCTTCTCACATCAACTTTCGCATTCTCTATTTCAAGACCTGGAAGCAGTGTGAAAACACGCGACAAATCCATGGAAACAATAACCGAGAATCGAGAGGAAGTGCAGGCAGAGAGAGTAATGGAGAAAGACAGTTCGGCTCCTCCAACAATAAAAAAAATTGAACGACGCTCTGAGAGGCAGAGGGTAAAGAGACAATTACTGACAAATGGCCAGGGCGAGGCCAGGGAACGTCAGTCAATTGACAAAAGTGATCAGAACCGCAAGAGTGTGACACCAAAAAGGACAATAACCAGTGACTATTCGTCGGAGGAGGGAGAGCGAGAGGATCCACCCAGTCGATCAACTTCTGCTTACGAAATATACAAACAGGCTGGTGATTATTGGAAGTAAGTGTTTAATATCCTTTCTGCTATCCCCGCTTTGTTTTGATCTTGTCAGTGTTTACGTGAATCATCTAGTTTACCATTTGGCCTCGGTGGTTACAAAGCCGTTTGGAAATTGAATACTTCAACCACACCCTCGATGATCTAATCGTAATTCAATGATTAAAGGTGAAAATTTATCGGAATTATGAAGTCGTAAGACGTCACAGAGCAAATGGATTTTTCTAATGTCGTTAAATCTTGATAATGGATTATTTTGGGGAACAAAGTCCAAGAGAGATTTTTCGTTAGAACTTTTGGTGATTAGAAAAAAAACTCATTTGATGTTTCATTTCGAAAGGACTTCTTCACAAGATCAATGCGTAATACACAATAATGAAATAATATAATATAATGAGAATATTTGATGGAATCGAACTGATTTACTTGAGGGAAATTAAACAACTTGATAGAAGGAAATGTAATATCTTTCACTAAAATTGAATTTTCTTTGTGATGATGAGAAATAGCCATAGAAGAATTCGAACCGTGGGTAGGAAAAAATATAATCTATTCTAGGACAATTGTTTCATCTGAGAGAACTCCGTAGGTTTATACCACAGAAAGAATATATTGACGAGGAAGAAATATTTTTAACCCAAAAAAAATTGCCCCCTCGAAATTATTTAGTTTCACCAAAATTGGGAAATACATTAATCACACCTTCATTATACATCCATTGAATACATTAACCACCCCTTCGATAATCTAATCATAATTTAATGATTGAAGGTAAATATTTATTTGAGTTTTGAAGTCGTAACACGTCACAGAGCAAATGGATTTTTCTAATGTTGAAATTTGTTGAAATTTTCGTTGATTAGAAAAAATATAATATATCGTACGACAATTATGTGATCTGAGAAAATTCCATAGGTTTATACCATCGAAAGAATACATTTACGCGGAAGGAATATTTTTTCCCAAAAAAAAATTGTCACCTCGAAATTATTTAGTTTTGCTATATTATTTTAAATTGAGAAATTGAATACATCAACAACACCTTCAATAATCTAACAATAATTCAATGATTAAAGGTGAAAATTTATCTGAGTTATGAAGTCATAACACGTCACAGAGCAAATGGATGTTTCTGATGTCGTTAAATCTTGATAATACGTTGACGAGGAAGAAATATTTTTTCCCAAAAACGAAATTGACCTCTCAGAATTATTTAGTTTTACCAATAATATTTTTGGCCTGAAATTCACCAGATGAATCTCTAGTCCCTAAAAAATGGCCCTTGTTCATAAATACAATGATGGAATTCTACAGAAAGAAATCCCTTTCTCAAATCTTGTTGAATAACTAATTATCTTCATAATGAGTCACAGTTATGCAACATTTTGAATCTCACTCACGAAATAAACACATGATCATGAAAAATGTAGTATTTTCAACTCTTTGAAACTCTAAACCATTCTTGACTATATTTCCTTCACATTACATTTAAAATTGTTTCCAGTGTCTTCCCAAAAACGGATTACACGTACTCACCGGCATCGCAATGCCGCTACGAGATTGCCCCCGGTGTTTTGGCAATGCCTAATATGTCGAGACCGTCAATACACTCGGATGGCAGTAGTGCCGGTAGTACATTGTCCCTCAATCAACAAACAACGAGTCAAACGTCGTTTAGTACGAGGGAAGGAAACTCGGATTCTTTGGACGCTGAAATCAATGAATCCATCGAGCAGAATCGATTGGTACAATATTCTTCCTTTCTCTATTTCTCGAGCAAGAACATCAGGCATTTTTGTGATAACATTTTATTTTTCTCGATACGTGATTAGAATGAAGAAAATGCCAGATTATTCGCAGCTACAATGAAGAGCGACATGTCTTCGGCCGCGGGTTACAAACAAGTGCATGTGGAACAGTTTACAAGGAGACGTGTGTTTTATGAGGAGTCTGGCAATAGGAGAAGATTTGATAGACTTGCGCAAGTTGATTCGGACACTGAATTGGACGATGCCATCAAGACGAAATATGCGAGTCGAGGGGAACGTTGGAGAGTGAGAAAGTGGTATGAGAGCGTCAGGAGTGTCGTGGCTGTTTTGTTCCTCAGCATCGTTGAGGTTGTGAGGGTGAAAATACTCAGGAGGGAAACACCTTTCAATACTAGTCAAGGGTATTACCGGTTTGGAGGTAATTTTTTTAGCATTCGTACTAAATTATTACACAGGTATTATTCGAATGAAACGAACATGTTTAGCTAAATACGACGGAATAATAGAGTTGAAGCTTGATTTGAATTTCCATAGTTTTCTTGTTTTGGTTGGAAAGTTCCCTTCGACAGGAATGTATCTTTCATTAATTTGATTATTCTCGATATCAATGTTGCATCTTCTCAAGGGATATTTTTTCACTCGAATAGAAAATATTCTCCGATGGGATGTGCAATTCAGTCGTGAAATGTAAACACATAACGTCCATTTTTTCAATGTTGTTTGGGGGTTCGGTAGAGCTAGAGACCCATTGAACCACCTTTGATGTGTGATGGGATATGTTAAAAAGTGGGAGAAATGTTTGACTCCAATTGATTTTGCCCCAACATCGACGAGAAACGACATTTCCTATGTTTTTAATTGATTTTGCTAATGAATAATTTAACGGAAAATTATCTAAAGACATTTGTTTAGAAATTCATTCGGATAAAATAACAGTCTCTTAAAATTATTCCCTAAAGTTAATGGCCTTTAACATGAATACACAATCATTTTTAAAATTCGAGTCTCTCTTATCAATCAACCTCGATATGTTATCCATTTAATTGTAATAAATTGCCGTTTTATCTCAGGAAACGACTAAGTCACAAAAACAAATCATCAATTTCACATTAAACAATTAATGCCACATTGATTAGATTTTTTCGATGTTGTGATGGTGACGTAACAGTTGAATGGCCTGAGCAGCCGTCAACAATTCAAAGATGAATAAATAATTATGACTAAATCAAGCGTAGAATTCTTGATGATGATTGTTGGGTGAAATTTCTTCATTGGATTAAATCAGGAGGTCCAAATTTACTTATTGTATTTGCCTATTTTGGGAAATCATTAAAAATTGAGAAATTACAGTTAATTGAAGAAACTTCTGCATCATGACGTTCAATGCAGACATCTTTATCGTCCTTAAATTATTAATTCCTCACAACGTTTTGAAATTAAGACGAGTTTAATATTTTCCATCCAATTTTCATGAAAAACAGTCAAGTCCGACGAATTTCATAAACTTCTTCCAGTTTCAGAGTCAAAAGTAACAAAAATTATGATCTCAAATTCATCACTGCAGCATGAAAAACAACTGTTGCATGGCCTTATGTGATCATAGCACTTTGAATATAAATAAATAATTACAATCAAATCATGTAAAGATTCTTGGCGATGATGTTTAGTTGCACGACATTTTTTTGTTGAATAAAGTTATCAAATCTCAAAGTTCGATGAAAAATATTGAATACATATTGTCCTGTTTTGAGACATCATAAAAAATTCAGAAGTTACAGTCAATTGGAGAAATTTCTGCATTATGACGTCCAATGCAGACGTTTTCAATCGTCCATAACATCTTAGTTTCTCATCATTTATCGCAATATTAGCATGTGTTTTATATTTTTCATCCAATTTTCATATCCAGCAATACAAAAATTTCACGCAAAACTCAAATTTTCATGAAAAACAGTCAAGTATTTCATGAATTTCCTTCCAGTTTCATGCTAAAAAATGACAAAAAAATATAGTCTCAAATTCATTACTACAGCATAGAAAACAACGTTTGAATGACCTAAGCAGTCGTCCATAATTTGAACATGAAAAAATAATTACAATAGAATCATGCGAGGATTTTCGGCGATGATTGTCGCATAAAATTCTTCATTGGATTGAATCATGAGCTCCAAAAGTTCGATCAAAGATACTAAATACGTATTTTCTCACTTGGGAAGTCATAAAAAATTAAGAAGTTACAGTCAAGTGCGACAAATTTCATAAATTTCTTCCAATTTCAGAGTCAAAATGGACAAGACTATGGTCTCAAATCGATCACTACCTGCAGTATTTATACCTGTGGTTGATAAGAGTACTTTACCTCGACACATGGCTACTGAGTCGATTCTCTAGGATTCGAAAACGTATCCTTGCACGTCCATCGCAACTACTCTGGTTAATTCTCTTACCACCTCTTCTCTTCGCTGGTGAGTCATTAAAAATTGATTTATGTTATGCTGAATAGGATGTTACGGGGCATCTCTCAATCTTTGGGCTTCTTCCTCCCTCGCTGAACAAGGCAGCTGTTGTACCTTGAACAATCTTACAGAATTCTTGATGTCTACTAAAACCAGTCGATTATTCTGGAGTGACCGGTAAACCGTAGCCTGGCCTTCGTCTTCTTTTTGTTTCAGGAGCTTACGTCGCGCTAAAGCATTCGTTAACCTGTATGGAGACACTACAGAAAGTACAGAAAGATGTCACTGAGACAACATATCGCATCTATGATGATGTCATTAATGTTGATTTTATCGATGATTATGGATTTGTCGCGAAGTACCTCACGAATTTTCAAAATTTTTCATTTTTACCTGCATTTCCTTTGAACGTGTCTTTACCCGGGTTTCAGTAACATCGAATGATTTTGTTTTCTCGTCATGAACTAGTCGAGACTGTCAAAAATATTTGAAAAGGGTGAAGTCTCGCAGCATTTTGCGTAAAGATGAAAATCATCTATTTTTTTTATCATGATTTTCGCATAGTTAATCGAGCTTTCGTTTTGATTTATGATTAACCTGTCGTGTTGCTAACGTTTCGCATTTTTTGTTTTAATTCCATTCAGTTCGATGCGTTAATCTGAGGAGTGATGTGGTATAAGAAAATGAATCAAATTTACTTTGTTATGTTTTTGAGTAAATATTTTCAAATCGAAGGACGATATCGAAATTTTCAGGAGAAATGTCTCTCGTAGTTCTTCTTTCTCTCTACAGTAATTGAGGTTTTGCACACAATTTTTCAATTATCGATTATGAGGATTGAACAGAAAATATTTGAGACGTATTTTTCTTATCCTGAAAGAAGAATATTTTGATGAAAAATGAAAACATTATGTCTGTATACATTTTGTGTGCCAACTTCCTGACGTTAGATTATTTAAAAAAACGTATCTGATAGGTTCCATCCAGTTTTCATATTTCAGAAGTTTATTGAGCGGAAATCATTCATGCAGCAAATTAATTTCGCGAAAAAACAGAAGAGCTCTACAATAATCTGTTTTTTTATTGGTAAAATAATTTGTCGATCTTCCTGAACTTTAAAGATATTTACCAAAACCACAGCATAAAATTCAATTGCGTTTAGATTAACCCGTCGTGTTGCTAACGTTTTGCATTTTTCGTTTTAATTCCATTTTCAGTTCGACACGTTAATCTGAGGAGTGATGTGGTATACGAAAAACCGTCAAATTTACTTCGTTATGTTTTTGACTGAATATCTTGAAATCAAAGAAGGATATCGACATTTTCACGAGAAATGTCTCTCATAATTCTTCTTTCCCTCTACAGTATTTGAGGTTTTGCACAGAATTTTTCTATTATTTGATATGGAGATTGAGTAGAAAATATTTGAAACGTATTTTTTTTAATCCTGAAAGAAGAATATTTTGATAAAAAATGAAGAAGTCATCTCTGATTACTTCCATTTTTCAGATTTTAAAATTTTATTCAATGGAAACTATTCATGCAGCAACTTAATTTCGCGAAGAGACAGAAGAGTCCTCTACACATAGAAAAACCTAAACGTAAAATGTAAACATAAATTACATTTATTAAGTCGTCTTTTACGCTTTCTGAAGTTGAAGTGTAAATTACGCACGATATCGCCATAAATTACGATTACATAAACATAATTTACGTTTAGGTTTTTCTGTGTGTACAAAAATCCGTCGATCTTCCTTCCTTTTAAGATATTTACCAAAACCACAGCACAAAGTTCAATTTCCTCATTTCCATCCACTACTTCGTTACCGATTTAGTTCCCAAAGTCATTTTTCACAGTCAGTTTTGACCGGGCATTAGTAAGTCTAGTCCTTCCGGAGTAGAGCATCTACTTAGTGATTACCAAATAATTTAATAGACATAATACGCGTTATTTGTTGGGATTAACAAAACTAATATATTTGTGTGGCTTTATACTTTATATCTGCGATTGTTCTCTAATCACTATTTACTGAAGTTACGATAATTGTCCGAGAATGGGTGATTGCATCATTGCGTATTAACCTTTCAGCCTTACTAATAATCGCTAGAACATAAAAAATTAATATTCTGTGGCTTCCATGTTAACCAAATCGACTTCCGGCCTTTAACCAAAAATGAATAATCATGTTAAAATCATAGGAGAGATCTGAATGAGTTGAAAAAGGGAATATTTTTCCAAGTAGAAGACTACTTTTGGAAGCGCAAACTATTATATTTTGAAAGAAAAATTTATACACATGAATGTATCAAATGTTTTCTGGAATTTTCATAATAAAATGGAGAAATATTGATATTTGAAATTTATTTCAATCAATTGGGAATATATGGTCCAAGCACGAAAATTACGATGAAATTGAATGAAGCAATTGGATGGCCCCAACCCTAAAAATATCACAATAGAAGTATTTCAATATTTTGAATGCTATGGGAGAAGGATAGAGGGAGGTAAAACTCAGCTGGTGATGTAAATTGGAGATTAATAGCTTCAGGAGTACACGCATGATTCTGAAGTCATCCGAATGGTGAGTTCCTTCGTCTGTCCTTCTCTCAGTTACCGAATGAATATTTGTCTCTGGCACTACACTGATATGATCTCTAATACTACATTATTTAACTTTGTCATGTTATTGTAAAAATGGTCAAATCAGGGTAATGCAGTGTGCGGTAACAGGAGAAGGAGAAGAGAATGGTCATAACTATTTTTTTAATTCCGATTGATGAAATGATGAATTTTCAGGATTTTGGTTGCTCCCCTACGCCCGGAGCTTAACATTCCCGGGGTTTAGAACTGATGTGGCGGGCGAGATGGACAAGGCGACGGTGGAAGCTAATGAAACGGTTCTGGATGAGGAAATTAGAAGGTCCATAGCGCTTTTGATTAATCGAGTGGAGAAGCTTGAGAGTGCGGGAGTTGGTCATGGGGTGAGATTAACTTCTATTCTGATTTTCACCGAGAATTAAATTTGAGGAGAATTCATTTATTTACTGATTTTATGTCATGCCGTGCAGTAAGTCGAGTTTCAAACTTGACTCATGCACGGTGTGACAGAAAATGTTGTAGATCACTCGGGCATAAACTTCGTTTTCAACGAATGTGAGTACAGAGCTCACCTTCGACTCGGCCTGTGAACTTCATATTTGTCGAAAACGAAATTTGTGGTCTTATACTCTAATGTACTATATTTGTATAGGAGCGACTAACGAACATCACGGAGGCCATTGAGGGATTGAGAGGGGAAGAGAAATCTGTCTGGGCACTTTACGATGTAAGTAGAAATGCATTCAACACTGAAAGAAAAATAAACCAGTTCTCAAACAAGTCTTTTTTGGACCACCAAAATTTGTGGTAGGCGCAAAAAAATCGGTCATACGTTTACGGCCGCAGTTAAAAGTTTTCATATTCTCACTCTTGAGTCCAAAATTAGATATCCCAACACAAAAACCTGGAAACTTTCTATAATAAAAAGGAGATGGCCAAAGTGTGTCACACATTTATTTTTTTGCAATTTCGTAATAATGAATTTTCAAAACATAAGGACACATAATTCGTGGTGATACAGACATGTTTGTTATCTATATTTCTATCTATTTCTATAATAAAGACGGGATGGCCAAAATGTGTTACCCGTTTATTTTTTTCTCTCTTCTCTATAATAAAAAGGAGACCAATAGGGTCATTTCTTATTGTTCACCGAAATTATTCGATATTCAGTTCAAAATCTCTATAATACAAAGAAGATGGCCAAAATGTGTCATGCGTTTATTTTCTTTTCTCTTCTCTACAATAAAAAAGCGACCAATGAAGGTATTTCTTATTGTTCACTGAAATTATTCGGTATTCAATTCGAAATGTTGCACAAAAATATTAATCATTCAATACCCATCCTCTTGATTAATGTGAATTATATTAAAATAGAGAATCAGGAACTTGCATGATTTTTTTTCAATTCTCTAACCTCAAGTTTGGAACCTGAATCATTAATTTTTCATTCACAAACGTTTGAAATATTGCTCATTAATTCATCGCTAAAAGTAGCAGATTTCAAACGCTTTGAAATCGCTAAAGACGTCACACAGACGGTCGAGCGCTGGACCAATCACAGAATGGCTCGAGCCGACCTAACCCAATCTTGAGGTGCGCCTCGGCCAATGGAGGACGCCAACTCCCCACTCTCTTCTTTTTCGACCAATGAAGTGTTACCAGACCGTCTTCGTGACGTCATGACCGAAAAATTGGCCTCGAAACCGACTGATTTTCAATTAATTATCGTAAGACATTTGGGCAATATTTCTCCATAATTTTCGCCGTTCAGCTATCCATATGTTACGAGGAAGGTGCGGATAGGGGAATTAGAATGAATTGAGCTTCATGCAAGTTCCCTATTGTATTGGTAATGAGAACGATGAATCGTTTGATCAATCTATCGCATTGATATGCGCGCGGAGCGTGCATTCGATCTCGTAATTTCGAAGATTACAAATCCTTCCCTTGGAATCCAAAAACATGAAAAAATTCCTTGAAATTGTTCTAACAAATTAGTTTTTCATTTCCCAGGAAAAACTCTCAAATCTGGAGCGAAAAATAACCGACAATAAACCTGACGAAACAACTCACAATGAGATAAACACAATAAAACTGGAGTTCAAAAACCTCCAAGAGCTCTACGCACAACAGAAGACTTGCTGTGACAAGCCGACAATATCAATCACCAATGGCGACATCGAGAGACGTGTCGAGGAAGTGGTAACTTCGTATTTCGGCACAGGTGCCTTCAAATCCGATATAACAAGAATCGTAGAAGAGATCGTCAAAGCTAATACTCTAGCTCAAACTGTAGCGCAAGTAACCGAAAAATCTACTACAGCCGACTGTCCCCAGCCGGCGGAGCCAGTCCCAGTTACCGATGACCACATCCGCTCCATCGTCAAGGAAATATTGAAGATTTACGATGCAGATAAGACGGGACGAGTGGATTATGCCCTCGAGTCTGCAGGAGGCCAGATAATAAGTATCCGCTGCACTCAGCGTCACAATGTTAACACAAGAGCCTATAAAGTTCTGGGATTCACTCTGTACTATGAAAGTGGTGATCCTAGAACAGTTATTCAGGGTCGACCACTGCAGCCAGGTGTCTGTTGGGCGTTCCAGGACTTCCCAGGTTATCTTTTGATAAAGGTATGTGAGAGTTCAAGGTTTATTGAGAGGTAACGGTACCTCTTGCATGTGTTGGATTCTAGAATCGTCGTCATGTCCGTAGTTTTTGATTTTTGAAAGTCAACAAAATTTAATCACTTCATTAGTTTTTGGTTTCGAAAAATCGAAAGGTCCCGGATTCGATTCCCGATCTTATTCCAAAAGAAGTTTTAATTTTTAATTTGCTGTTGAAAACATGAGTTGACAATGTTCTAAGCACGAAATTACATTGATGAGGTGAACAACGGATTAATTGAATTACCGTATGAGCAAACTAAAAATTGATAACAGTGTGGCCACGCACTTTTACCAGAATATCAACAAACATAAGATTCCAGAAGCTCACACTCTAAAATGTGTTCTAGAAGGGATTGAATTGTAATTATGATTCAAATCTTATTCAATGAGAATAAAAATTGGAACGTGAGCGAATTATTTATTGTAAAACGAAAATTGAACAGCTGATAAATTGGGACAAATGATTCTCATTGGTCGTTTTGCTTTTTCAAAATGAGAATGATTATAAACAATTATTTGGAAACAGGAATATTGAATCTGACAGGACAAAGGGCATCAACACCTGTTGATGATGGTGCTAGTTTAAGAAAATATTCGATGGCGCGAAGGTATGAAGACCTCCATAATTTCAGGTACGAGCGCCTATCAAGGTCACCGGTTTCACCCTGGAGCATGCCCCCAGGTCCATCCTTCCGAACAATGAAATGAAGAGTGCACCAAGGAAATTCAACGTCTGGGGACTGAGGGAGGAGAACGATGCAGCCCCAGTGTCATTCGGAGAGTACGAGTTCTTGGACAGTGATGACAGTCTTCAATACTTCCCTGTTCAAAATAACGACATTAAGGACGCCTATGAGTATATTGAATTGAGAATTCATAGTAATCATGGGCAGCTTGAGTACACGTGCTTGTATAGGTTCAGAATCCATGGAGTACCGGTTTAAAAACAGTTTGCTAGGGGAAAAAGTAACAGCGCTGACCAAAAGTATTTTGTTTTTTTAAATCATGCTGTGTACATTGAAGTAGAGTAGTGGAGTGATGATACGTAATAGATGAAATCCATTTCTGTGACTTATTGAATATTTAATTGTCTTGAGAATGGGGATTTTGAGGGGAATATGGAGAGACTTTTTCTCTGTGGAATTTAATTCTCTTCAGAAAAGAATTCTCGCCACTTTCTTCTAAAATCAATTGTTTTCGAGATCAGGGCAGGATTCAGTCGTGGAAACAGTTGAGGAAATTCAACTTTGGGTCGAGTTTTTTGTTAATATCCACAAACCCATGGGGGATTGGACAATTTCCATCAAAAACGTTTCTACAGAGTGAGATCAGAGCTACAACAATAGTATTGATTAGAATTTCCTTCTTGGATTCAGAGATATTGACCAGCAGCAGATAATTTTTTCATTCGAAATGAGAACACACGTTTCTTACAGTAAATTTAGAACATTATTCTGTTGGAGAATATGAAAGAATGCAGCTGGTGTAGTCGAAAAACAGGAAGATATCTCTCTAAATAAAAAATAAGCCATTTTGCTCTATCAATTTTCAAGGTACAGAAAAAAAAACTTTCTATTTAATCAAATTAATTCGTCTAATGCCTTTCTTGAAGATGAAAGGTGAAATTCCCCTGATCTTTCAATCACAATCGTCGTAATTTTCATATCATAATGTTCTTAAACAGGAAAAAATTGTTTCTGAAGCAAGAATAAGGTTTTAATTCTAGAACTGTCGACTATTCAATTTAATTTTTCTTGATTTGAGAAAAGTTTTGCTGTGTCTCGTTTCTCCAACGAATTCCTCGAATTTCATCTGCTATGGATTGTCATTCCTCCACTGACTAGACTCACACGTGCCTTTGAACAAAGTAACTATTAATAATGCCATAATCAATGTCAATAGTCCATAATTCTGTAGAGATCGCGTCATTTTTTTTAGGAATTAGGAAATTGTACAATTTTCAGCGTAAGCGCAACATTTGTTTTTATATCGAAAGGATCTTTATAGTGTTCAAAACACGGACTGAAGTACTATCAGCAGTTACCCAAAGCTATGTAAATTGTAATTACCCACAAAGTACAAATTATTCTTGGAGAAAAATGTGTTTTAGAGTCATAAGGTAATTTCGCTGGGGTTTTTCCAACGGGATTCGCTGACATCACGCTTTACTTTTTTTTTATAATGTGTTTTGATGTTGCTGTAACTTTAAGAATGTAGATTTGACGTGCACTAGAGGTTTTAAAGGATGAGACTCTGATGACAGGACGCGGTGGGCCAGGCTTCCCTCTTTCAGACATCTTCATGTCAATGAAATTGAACAGATACTTTTGTAATGAAACTCTTCCCAGATTTTTATTTAAACGTTTCAGGAGAATCTAGATATCTTGTGTTCCAAGTAGAATTATATTTTGTGTATATGATTGATGAATTAATGCACTATTATCGTGCCTCTGATTATGTTTTAAGCTTTGTGATAATGCTTATTTTTCGTGTTTTGTATAGAAGAAAGAAACTCCGAATATTGTGCTTGCCCTTTTTTGTTATGAACGTTTTAATCGGGAGAGAAACATGATGGATCTGAGTGGAGATGTGTTACGTCGCAGACTAGATCGGGGCATAATATCATTGTGGCTGACGGTACTTAAATCAAGGGATCGAGGAGACGTACCGTGAGAATCTTGACATTTTGTAATTTGAAGTACTTTTTTCTCGTCTTGTCGATTTATGTTTGCCGATTGCACGTAGGAGTCTAACGTTTTGTGAATAAAAAAATTATCAATGAATTATGGGGCTTTATTTCAATTATTTTTGCTCCCGAATGGAAGTCTATTGGGGTAAAGAGACCAATAGCTGAATGGTTGTGGAAAACTTATTCGAAATATCGATATGTCGATAAAGACAACTTCATTGTATGATTATACATGAGTGTTATTAAAAGCGAGAATCGTATGAAAACTACGACGCAAGGAGGATTTTGAAGGTAACAATAGGAAAAAAAATTGAAATTGGAAATTCGGAAATTTCTTACGAAATATTTCAATTCTTTCAAATTTGAATTTCCCAAAGGGGAAATTGGGGAGCTTCTACTCGTCATGAAACGTCGACATTTCATTAAATTACCATCTTTCATTTCCGGGGTGAAACCAATAACTTCCTATCGGGAAGTTAATGAAGTTTTGCGTGGTTATACGAGGCAAAATCGATGGGGTCCGCGATTTTCCCTAGTTATTTCTAAGGCCCAGTGAAGACTTAAATTTCACCGGCGTATCCCCTTAACCCTAGATTGGTAAAATTGATTTGTACAATTGAAGTGTCTAAAAAATTATAGGAGTTTTTAGAACCCCATATTTGCCAAAATTCCTAAAGAAAACAAATTATTTCGGATATATGAATTATTTTTTCCCATGTTAAATGAAATTGTCCATGACGCGTCGTTGCCGGAAACTCGCTAAACGCGTCCAGGCAGTATAGAGTGAATTTGGCAACGCTACAGCCTAAATAGACGGCGGGGAATCCCCGGGGAGGTGACCAATCGCCGGGTCGCGTTTGGTGACCAGACTGGGGTTAAGGATTTTTATGTAAAATTGCAAGTATTAAAAAAAATGATTTTTTTTTCAAATGCGAGATTTGTTATTCCCTCTATCTTGATAAAAATTTCAATCCACCAACCCACGTTCATTATTCAGAAATGGAGTGGACAAAATGCACCAAATGCATGCGCTAACATGCGCTTATATGGGATAGAATCTTTCAAATATTTCCTCTTTTTGCGCGGATACCCCAAATTTTTTTCCGGCCATTCGATTCAGTATAGTTTTGCACATTACCTTCAATTTTGATGTCTATTCTTAGAGTCTTATAGTAGGTGAATTATAAATTTCAACATAAATTCCATGAGAGCCCGTGTACACGGAAATAGTTATTTTCATCACAAGGTCCACAAAGTATTTTCTGACGAATGTGGCTTTGTAGGCCGAGCCGAAGGCGAGGCCTATAATTACATTCGTCAAAAAATCCTTTTGGACCGTGTGATGAATGCAATTTTTCGCATCTCGCTTCGCTCGGTTAGATCGCGGTTTACGGGCCTTCTGACGAAAAATTTGTTTATTTATTTCTGGCGAGACAATTCGCGATCGCAACGTAGATGTGGGAGCCATCAAGTGGTCTCTCCACTAACTACTCTTGGCGGGCAACCAATGAGATCACTGGATTCTCTTCGATCTCATTTGTTGAGCTCCATCATTGGTTCCCTCCGAGGGATCTCATTGGTTGCCCCCCCAAGATTAGTTAGTTTAGAGACCACTTGATGGCTCCCACATCTACGTTGCGATCACGAATTTCGATTAATTTTTTTAACATCAAAGACGTCAGTTTCATATATTCTGCTATCAGCCAAAAAAATTACAGAATTTTCCTCGAACATAAAAAAATAACATTTGCTGAAAATGGTTAAACATTCTTAAGGGGTAACAGAAGGCTACCGTTTCCCCGAAATATTCAAACAAATTTCCTGCTCAAAGTTGTTAATATTTTTTGAACCCAAAGCACATTGATCTACATCATCGCTTCCTGGAGATTAATGCGCTTGGCTTTATAAAAATATTTTTAACTTTCAGCAGGAAATTTGTTTAAAAAATTGGAAAATTAGCGGCATTTTGTTACCCCTTAACAACCATCGTGAGAACCGTTTTCTTATAAGATGGCATTTCATTATGTATTTATCTCCTAAACTGTGTAGTACATATGCAGCTAGTCAAAAAATTTTTCAACACCTGAGGAATATTATAAACATTATCTATGAAGAACATGGGGACAATCGTAAGAAACAGCTGTTTTCTAGGGATATAGGGGAGGTTGGGGTAAAATGGGCACTTTTGACTTTTTTTAAAATGTTAATGAGGGGTTGAAATGTTAATAAAATTTAATAATTTTTTTTAAATACAAAGAGCAATTATTTCCCTTTGTGGCGAGCCTAAACTGAGCTCAACTGATGAATTTGTTTCTGAGTTATGAATAAGTAAAAAAAAAAGTCTAAAGTATCCATTTTACCCCACCCTTCCCTACCTTAATTTACTAGATCTATGCGCGCGCTTCCGCGCGCGCTCATCTTTTTGTTGTGAAAATGAAGAAATCGAATTTATTAAACTTCATATACTCATAGATATTTTATAAATATTGATAATGACTTGAAGAGAATTAAGAGAAGGAAGAGTGAAACATCAATGAATAATTTTTAATCTTCGTATAATTCCTTTTCTTACCTTTTTAAAATAATATAATTAAAATCTGTAATGGTTGAAAAATGAGGGGAGCGTTATAAATTGATTTCCTGGAAAACTGAAAAAAGTTCTTGAATTCTTCGGAAAATTTCACAATTTTCTAGATAACTGTAATTCTTCAAAGATGTTTCTCGAATTATTTGGGAAACCGAAGAATTTTCATGAATTTGTAAAGTTTAGAATTTATGGATGAAAATCTGAGAAGCAAAAATTGATAATTTTTGCGTATGATAAATATGAACAAAGTAAAATTTGTGAGTGAAAAAAATTTAGAAATACTGTTTTTTTTCTCATGATCAACAATTAGGCAATTTAGATGTTTTGCTATAAAGATAAACTTCACACATAAAAAAATGAAAAATCTGACGCAAACAAAATTTTTGGGCATTTGACGAATTTGAAAATACCGGGGATTTTTTTCAGCGACTACTTCACGTGACTCATTGACCAATCAGAACTGAGGATTAGCGGTCAGGCAGTTTCGAGATATATCGCTATAAAACAACTTCACGTTTCTTTTGTTTCTTTCATCTTCAGTAAATAGGACTCCGCCGGTTAAACAAACACTCGAGATTGGTGATCGCGAGTGCTCGGGGAAATCCGCGTCCCATCGGTTATTTACGTGAGTTGTGTCATGTGTGCTGAAACGGCGCTCGTTCATCGTCAACAAAGGTCGTCAGTGCGTTATTATCTGTTTATCCGTTGAATTTGGAGCATAACATTTCCAGTGAAGACGTCATCGACCGTGCCGCGAGCTGTTCGGTGAGTTGAACATTAAAATTAGACATCAAATCGATTAACAAAACCCGCGTGTCCCTGTGTGCGTAACCTCACACGATCGAATAACAAATATTCGGTGAAAAAAACAGGAAATTCGTGATTCCTTTGAACACTGAATGTTGATACTTGGGGTCAATTCTTCCATGCGCAAAGTCATCGTAATAGTCGACAATTGATTAGACTAATAAATCAGGGTCTCTGGCATTGGGAAAAGGGCGGGATATTGCAGAGGTTTTGAACGTTTGAACTCTTCTATTTTGATTACCTTCCACTTCCACTTGATGTCTCCACATGACTCGGATGTTGGGGTTGATAATGGTCTTCAAATATTAGACAACACGACTTCGGCTCGTTCTGTAACCTCATATTCGCGGGATATTTTTTTTTTCGGCAGGGTGACGAAGCATTTTTTCTTGTTACGACGGTCGTGAGAACTTTTTTCACATGCACTTAAGGTAGCTCTATCCTTCGGTCGGACAACGCTGTACTTTTGGATATTCTCAGTTTTTAAATTTTTCAACTAAATTGTATGGAGAAAATTTGAAACAATTCATACACAGTCAGTACTATTTAAATTAAATTTCGCAAAATATTGATGTTTTTTCAAACATTTCCCTTTTATAAATGAATAATAAAACTTGTTTGCAAAACGGTGAATTATTTTTTATGAGGTGTCAAACAAATTCTTGATTTTTTCACATGTAATGAAAAAAAATTCAGATTTTAATCTTTGATTACAATGGAAATGTTGATTTTCACATAAGACACTGGGTTAAATCCTGATTTTGAAACATTTCTTCTTTGAAAAACCAAAACGATAATTAAATTGAGAAAAAAATTAGAATTCCGAATCTAATCAAATTTTCTGCAATTTTTTGCAGTTTTCAATATTCTTGAATCTACCGTAAGAGTAGAGCTGCTTTAAACATTTTTGTTTGAATTTTCCGTGGCAAATTCTGAAAATTTTTATAGTGGTCAAGGTCCACTGAAATTTCAAGAAATCTTGTCATTGGAAAATTGAATATTCCATTGATTTTCTTTTCAAATGGTCTGGAAATCAATGAAATACTTGATTTTTCCGCTCAATTATTCTTTGAAAATTCAGAAAAATCAGGAAAATTTAGGGAAGAATTGAAAATTCATAATGAAGCTGAAACTATCAGAATATTCGTCCGCGGAAAATTCAATTTAGAAGATATTTCAGTGTAGGAGAGTCAAATAATCATATGTACAAATGTTTTTTAAGTGCGAAAGAGTTTGTACATTACTTAAAAATATTTGTACTTCCCTAGAGTCGCCTAAGACAAATCTTCTGCTGTCGAATCTTTCGCTAGTTTCAGCTTCATAAATTCATGTCATTTTGTTTCTGAATATTCATGTTCCACTGACAATTCAATTAAGTTGTGAAATTTTCATCTCACTCCCACTGAAAACTCAGGAGTTTCCGTGAATTCTACTTGAAACTTGAAATTTCATGACCATTTTTTCCCTAAATCCGATTTAATGTCACTCTCATGAGATTTACTATAATATCTTCCATGGAACTTCCTGTAAAAGATATTTGGATATCCTTAAAATTGTTGCATGTTTTTGTTGATCTGTGAACATCAATCAAAAAATAAACCATTCAGGGGCGGATAAACAGGAGATGATTAAAAAGATCATCTCTTGTATACCAACTTTATGAGACGGGACGGTAAATACGCAACTTATTTACAAAGGACTGATCTTCTCTATCGCGTCAATTGTCCATCGCGAGGAAGTCACGGCTAGATGATATTTTATGCTGTTTCCCTTCCCCCCCCCCCCAGACGGTATGAAGAAATTTGAATGATTCAACAATCTCGTTCTCAGTCTCAGTGTTGAACTTTAACTCGTAGAAATGGCTGCAAGTTTTTATTGATCTGTGAATCTCGATTGAATGATAAACCTTTGGAACGACGAATAAAAAGTAGACAATCAAAAGGAACATCTCTTGTAGATCAACATTATAATGCGGGACAGTAAATACTCAACTTACAAAGAAACTCATTTCTTCTATCATGTCGATTGTCCATCGAGATCAAAGCCGGAGATCAAAGCTCTTCACAAATTTTGAGGACTAGATCTGTGCGAGCGCTTTCGCGCGCGCTTATCTTTTTGTTGTGAAAATGAAGAAATCGAATTTATTAAACTTCATATACTCATAGATGTTTTATAAATATTGATAATGACTTAAAGAGAATTAAGAGAATGAAGAGGATGAAGAGTGAAACATCAATGAATAATTTTTAATGTTCGATTAATTCTTTTTTTTTTACTTTTTAAAATAATCTGATTAAAATCTGTAATTGTTGAAAAATCAGGGAAGGATTATGAATTGATTTCCTAGAAAACTGAAAAAATTTCTTGAATTCTTTGGAAAATTTCACAGTTTTCCAGATAACCGTAGATCACACATTCTCCAATTATATGGGAAACCGAAGGATTTTCGTGAATTTTTGAGAAGCAAGAATTGATCATTTTGCGTGTGATAAATATGAAAAAATTAAAAATTGGGAAGTGAAGAGTAATTTGTGAGTTAAAAAAATTTAGAAATACTATGTTTTTTTTTCTCATGATTAACAATTAGGCAATTTAGATGTTTTGATATATAGATCAACTTCACATATGAAAAAATGAAAAATATGACGCAGAACAAATTTTTGGCATTTGAAAAATTTGAAAATACCGGGGATTTTTTTCAACAATGCAGTGCACTAATACCGTTCAAATTGTTGCGAGTAATTTCCGGTGGCCTGGCGTAGTGGTTAAGGCCGTTGCCTCACAACGGATAGGTTCCAGGTTCGATTCCTGGCCGGGTAGAATGGTGAGATCTAACCATTTTTAAAGTCTGGATCAATCGCCATATAGTCTCATCAGACTCGAAGCGATATAAAAATAAGCATAAAAAAAAAAAATTGTTGCGAGTATTTAAACTTATGTAAATAGCCATCCAAATAAACCGATCAATAGGAGAACGAATGAAAAGTTGAAAATCAAAACAATCACTTTTTGTAGACAAACTTCATGATGAATGATTTTGGGGAGGCTCATCAATCATGGGGAACGGTAGAAAATGACTGAGTAAACACAGTAATGAAATTTACATTCATCCATTTATTCACGCAAACAAGAATAGATTTAGATATCCGTCTTTAAATATACGCATGTTTATGCATATGGATCATATGACTGTAGTAGATTACATTATATGTTTTTATATAATATAATTTTACATTATCGAGTAGGATACGTTTTTCCATCTGCGCATTTCATTTTTTTTGAGTTTTTTTTTCTCCATCGAGAACTTGCCGATTAGCTAATTTTGCATTATAATTAACATTTCTTTTTTTTTTGGTGCACTTAGATACAAGATTATTGCGAAAGCAATTGAAGACTCATTTTTTTGCTCTTGTGGAAATAAATATGATTCAAATATGCGGCATAAGGTGACGATATCGCGTGTATGTAAAAATAAGTAAATAATTTTCTTTCATTTCATCCGAATTTGTTTTTTTTTTCTGTAAAATCTGTCGTTCATCGCATCCACTCGTACGTGCGTATATAATCGTGGTGGTTCTCTTAGTTGATGAAGGTTTCATAAATTAAAAATAATACATTCTTCATTTTTTTCGTTTCTCTGTTTATATTTCGTCAAACGAAGTAAGCGCAACATCTGCACATAATCTCTTGGTCCGCGAGCATCGACATTTTTTTTCATCTCTCTCCGTTCTTTGTGTTTTAAAAATCTTAATTAACATTGTTATTATGCAAAAAAAACATAAATGCCACGTCATTAATCATACAACTTGTTCATTAAAAAATGACTGAGTCTCATCGTGATCAGAGCGCTGCGATCACGATCGGAATGATAAATGATGAATTAATTCTATGAGATTACACGTCTTGAGGATGACAGAAAAAATGATTACTGATGAGAATTATCGAGTTCTCTTGTAGTAAAAAAACATGTGAATAAAAAAAAAATCGAAACTGCGGAATGGTGATAGCGAGACTAGGCGATGAAGGTGAAAATGGATTCGAGAAAAAATGATTCGTACAAAAAAGAGAAAAGAAACGAAAAATAATAAGATAAATAGAACAGATATAAATACTGATTTTGGAATGTTATTCGATCACCCGCGACCGTTTCTAATGCTCATCAACTTGTTTTCTCTCTTCATCTCTATTCAAGTAAAAACTCTACGAGTTAATGAAATTCTTAATAATCCGCTCAGCGTTAAAAGTGTAAAATAATAATAAATAAATACTAAAACGTAAATACGCTCGTCATGAGATTGTTTTTTCCATTTTTTTTTTCGTTTCCATCTTCTGCTCTAATAATCCCATTAATAACAACAATAATAATGATATTAGAGGCTATCTATGATAAAATTAAGCATAATTTTAATAATACATTTAATGAAAGAAAAATCGTAATACTCCGAAATATTTTTTTTTATATTCTCTATAACGACCCGTGCTGTCGGCCAATTTACACTGCAAATCAGTCGACTTTTTCATTCTTAATTCCATCATCATCAGGATGAGACTTGATCGGCCGTTTAGTTAAAAGAAAAATTCATACGGCGTGGATAATTACGATTAACTTAATAATGGATGAAATTATAATGATAATCATTATCATGGGCTATAGACATACGCACGCTCGACACTGAATATTCTTATGTTTTCGTTGTCAGATCAGTAGCGGAGTGCATGGAGAAGAAATTTCAGAAGAAAATACGTGACAAAATGTAAAAGTGAGGAGAAATACTTTTCGGAAATTTTTGCGTAAGAAGAATATAGCGGAAGAATAATCCGGAGAGAAAAACGAATTTTTCTTCTTAAGTTCTGGAAATTTTATGAATTGAAACGTAATTGTACTGTATTTATTTTTCTTTACTGTGAAGAATTATTTGTGCATCAGGATTACATCTCACGCTGCAATTTTTACGTGATTTGCATGATTATTTTCCTGCAATTTTCTTCTCCATGTGGTGAAATGAGACTAGTCAACTCATATCCAGAGTGAATATCCGGGAATTTGATGTAAAATGAGAGTTACAAAAAAGTTCTCCATGAAGATGTCGCTATTTTTCTTAGATGGCGGGGTATATTTACCAAAAATCAAATCTCTAGTAAGATACATTAACTTTGAAAATATCTTTCAATCTAAGGGAAATTACGGTGCGAGAAAAGTATGTACCTGAAGGTTTCTTGTGTTCAATGAGTCGGCTAAACTCAACATTAAGTCGAATTGTTTTTCATTTTTTTTTAATTTAAAGAATAAATTTAGAATGTTGTGAATTTGAATGCAATTCAAGATCAAATTGTTCATATAATTTCTTGTTCATCATCACAATAAGGGCGAGGAGGGTAAGACGGACCTCGTCTAACCGCCAATACTTCAAGATTGACGCAGTGAAATTGAAAGCTTTTTTTTCACGTTCAAGTTTTTTTGTAGCACTCTGGCAGGAGATATTGACGATTTCATAAGGTTCATTTTACTTCACCTTTCCCCACAACAAAATTAAGTTTCTCGTGTTAGGCAATCATTGTTATTTCAATGAAAGTTTGAATTCTCATAGTCATGGTGAACGCCAAACCTGAATTCAATGAAATTCACACAATTTAATTGTCACATGCGCCTGAAAATGCGATTTCATTGAAAAAATTAACAGAAATCCTGAAATGAACTGACTTGTCCGGACTACATCTCTAAAAATTTCATTTCAATTAGTAGTTTCTGAAATTCTCTCTTGAAATTGAAGGAATGATTTACCACCAGTGTAGGTTAAATATATTCAGCAAAACTAGTGTTTATTTTTCTTTGCAATAACTGAAGTCTGACTGAATGAATCCTTTCGTTTTCTCATTCCACTACTGATGACTCGTGTCCTCTCCAATCATGTCTGTGTGTAATCTTTCTATTCAATGATTTTTCCTGTCCCCAATACTGGGTGCAGTAATATGCCTTTGTTGTTTCGTCCAACTTATAAACTTTGCACGCGGTAACGTCGCGTAGATATATGTTATCGACTAGAATTCGTAATGGGATGTATGGCCCCTCGGTACCGTATATCGCTTAAGTTCGCCAGCTAGCAGCCGAGCCAAAGATGCATCTTGAATGCCACCATGATGATCTTCCTCACTGCATCCACGACATCCCTCAGGCCCACCGCCACACCGACGTTTTGTTAAATATGTTTTTTCTTCATAAGTATCCTCCGTTTTACTTTCTGCGGCCGAGGTATTCCACCATCTCCAGAAACTTTTCCTTCTCGTCCTCCAGCAGCAGGGCTTGGATGCAACTCGTGAAGTATTTAGTTTGAAAGCAATCTTGCCTGTTTTAACAGAGAAATATGAGTCAGTTAGTCATGATGTCGCAGAAAATTCATGAAATGATTTGTTAGTGAGATTAGTATTCTTTCTCAGATGACATGCAGATTATATTGGGATGTTGTGTGTTTTGTGTGTCGGCATAGCTTCTCCCTGGAATTAATAGAATGTTCATACTCATGCACTTTGGTTAGTTCTTTTACTCAATTCACTCTTGTTAGTCATTCATTCTCGTGAGCAATCATTCCCTGAGGAAGAAAGAAATATTTATCTCGACACTGAGAGGTAAATATCATTTTCATAACAATAAAATCATGGTTGAGAAAGGTTCAACGATTTTGGGATAGTTTCGTATCTTCCCTTTGTCTGGAATATGTGTGCGTAATGGCATTCAGAGAAATTATGTAGTTGAAATAAACTTTCTTTGAATACCATAGATGGGTTTACACAAACTTAAAGTTGATTTTTCAAATGAATTATTTTAACCACTTCTGTAATTATTCAAAAATGCTACTCCCTTGCAATTTGTGGCCCAGAGAGGAAGACTTTTCATTGAAGTTGATTCGTATTTGCGTTTTTAATCTTTACACGGATAGAAAGGATTAGTTATTGTTGAAAAATGAATTTGATTGAAGACTGGGGTCGATTGGTCTCGCCAAGTGTGCGTTCGTCAATAGTTAACAAATGCACGTTTGGAAGCCTTGCTTGACTGGACTTTCATCTTTCAACTTAGCCATTTATTATTATATTCAACTCTACCATTTATTAATAGTTAACGAACCTCGTTGCCAATGAATGAATCGTCCTATAAGTCACAAATGAAATAGTAGTTTAGACTCCTTGAAAACGATTTTATTAATCATACAGTGTACTGACAGAAAAAATTAATTTTGTCAAGAGAATTTTATTTAAACCATCATTTGGTTGTTAATTCTCAAATAAACATAATTTCATAGTGAATACCAGTTATCTCTTCTTGAGATACATTTGATTGTGAGAAATCGAACTTCTTTAGAATTGAAGTTCCTTTTATTTGTCGCAATAATGAGAGTATTTGATTTCTTTCTAGCCAAGAGTTTGCTAACTCCAGAAATTCGTGGGTTTACTCAAAAATCAAAATTATTCTCATGACTAAATACGTTGTTATCTCAATCAACACGATCATACGTTGTTCTAAGTAAATTATAATTGAAGTGAGCTTTTCGTATGTCGAATCACGATGAATATTGTTACACGGAAAAAGCTTGGAGATTGTGGTAAGATGTCGTTGAGTTGAAAGAAGTTTATATTTCTTGACTAAATAATCGCATTAGTTTACAATAACAGAATCGCAGATTACGGCAATTCTACAGAAACTTGGATGTCACAAATTTCGTTCAATGTGATGTAAGGAATGCTCAATTTAAAGATCGGCTTCATTCGAGAAAACAACATTCAATTCATTTCTCAGTGTAATCGTCTCCTAGGTACGAATTTTTGATCAATTCATGAAAGTCGAAAATTTCTCGACTGGAGATTATATTCGGTTTAAAAAATAGAACTTTCCCATTTTTGTGGTGAATACACGTGACTTGACGCCAACAACTATTTTATTTGATTCAAGTAAATGTATTTCAAGAAGAAATAATTGATATTCACCGTAAGATCTTAGCTCAATAAAAATAATTTCTTCTATCAGTGTAGAATAATCCTTTATTTGAGTCATTGAAACGAATAGAAAAATTTCGAATAAAAACGGTTAATTTGATGCACATGCGTTATTCTCTGTTGCATTTTTTAAAATGAAAAACCATCAGCCATATTTCTATCGTCACCCGAACCCTCTCAATGAAGATGGGAAATAGGAGAAAAATTGTCCTCGTGAAGCGCAAAAGTGGTGTGTAATTGTCCCAGCAAATCTGTTTGTTTTTCACATTGTCATCAAGACATAAATTACCTAATGCACTTATTATCAGTCAATCCCCGCAGTTGTGGGTGTTTTGACGAGATTTGTGCTACCATTGCATAACTCAAACGATAACGAAATAATGTGAAATCCAGAATGAAATAAAAATGAGTGGAGTGAAATGTACAAGTGCACAGGGTAAACAGCAAGGATATCAATGTGTACCCTGAGAGAAATATCGTCATAATATCACAAAATTAATTTCTTGCGCGAAATATCTCATCTCTTGAGGATAAATTTCTTGGGATAAGAATTCCGGATAATGCGTCAGACAATGTAAGATTTCGATGAAATGTTCATGACTTGAACATGAACATTTCATGATAAAGTGACAATTTTCGTGTCAGAAGATGAGAAAATGACTGAAAATATTAAAAGCTTCGATTTAGTGAATCCTGAATCAGAGACTTTCATATTGAATGAATAAAGAGTTTATGCAGAGGAAAATCTCCAGATATTATAAAAATATAACCGTCGCTTACGCTCAGTCGCTTTGAGTTCGAAGGAAAGCAATATCTTCTTTTCCTTCTGTCAAACTATTCTTGTCTTTTAAGAAATATTATCTCATTTCAAAAAAAGACATCATCTTTTCATTCAGTAACTTCCTTCTTAGCCCGAAGAGCACCGATTTCTTGTCTGAAACCTACCATAAATTGATCAAATATGTGCGCGATGTTTGTCGCTCAAGAAATAATTTTTGTGATATTACGTCGATCTTTCTCTCAGTGTAGAAACCAAAAATAAATGGGATAAATCATAAACAAAAAATAAAAAGCTAACCTAAACCCCAGGATCAGCGCCATGGAGTTGTTTAATCCATATTTGTATCTGCTCCATTTCATCCTGCAGAAGTAAAACGTCCAAACAGCTCTTGAAGTAATCCGACGTGAAGCAATTCTTCCTGTAAATTTTCAAATAATACTCACAATGAAACACCAATTGTCCCAAATCACCTGATGTATCGTGAAAAAAAAGTAATGAATGGCTCGTTTTTTAACGCTACCAACGCACAGTGCCTGCACCTGTGTTACATATCATAAAACACAATATAAAAAAAAATGCATTTGGTCAGACAAAACGCGAACCAACAAATACGGTGTTACAAGTCAGGTAATAACGGATGTGCGTTGGCACTCGTTGGTCTCTCTCGGCAATGCGTGTTGTGCGCTATAAATAGAAGAGAAATCTCATTCCGTTTCGATACGTGTTATATTGGTTAAGTTAGTTCAAACATTATGGATAAAACCTGTACACAATGTGTTGCTGAGTTTAATGTGAAAATGAACAAGTCAAACATCGCGAGGCATTCAGTAAAAAGATACTTCGCCTGTAAACCGAGACTAAAATAATACCTCAACAAGCATCAAGGCTATTAATAAACCTCACTCCTCCATAATGACCAATTTAATGAACGAATCAATTCAATAACGAGGCGTGCAATTTATATTTCATGCAACAAAATAATTGTGCGATTAAATATTTGAAGTGAAAATTATTTGGGATAATAACCTGCACAGGGTATGAAGCTGTGGCTCCCGGAAAAGGTTGTAACAGTCCTCGCAGATACGATCCAATCTTGCAAAGATACTTTTATCGTAAATCCCCTTGCACTGCAACTGCATGAAGGAACGTTTGCCAAGTGGATGTCCCATTAGTACTCCAGCATCAGCAATACCAAGACACGATGAGATCAGAAGTAGCGTTACTGACCAAGCTAGCACAGACAAAAGTACAGGCGGACAGGTTGAACTTGATGAACTTGATGTTGAATTACTTAACGTTGATCTTGATGTGGCTGATGACACTATTGTCCCAGTTGTTCGTGATCTTAAACTCGTTGTGCCATTGTTTAGTGACTGTCGGCACAAATTTGATACGGTGATTGATGATTGTCTTGACTGACGCTGCATCATCTGAGACATAAAAAAATGGGTACATGTAGGGGAGATATTTCCGACAATTTTTTTAAAGAATTATTGAAATCAGTAGCGAAAACGGTACCAGTCAATCTTGACTATTGGCCAGTTTTCAATGGACATCTCGGAATCTAAGAGAGATAGAAAAATTTTTGTTTCGACCTTTTTTGTAGAGCCGATTGAGAGCTACAATAAATGTAATTACGAAAATTTCGCTATTTCGCTTACATTCGAAAATATTCTTCAAAAACTCAACTGGGAGATGAGTCGACTTAAACCGTTTTATCACTTCGCTACTGAAATGTATTGTTTTGACTCCGAGAATCTCGATATGGGAGGAATTTCACTATTTCATTGTTTCGTTTGTTTACAGCGGTTTCCGTATTACAGTCCATTTTAAATCGCGAATTGGGATTCCCTATACATTACGAAAAGACGAAACCCCTGGCACAATTTTACATTTCCAGGGTTTTGTTACTCTTTTTAAATAGCTAGAATTTTTTCCGATATTCTGCATAAGGACACATGCACTAAGATAAGAATTTCCTGATATGTAGACCATTTCAATGGCTTGAGGATGTCGAAGTATCTTTTACAGTTTGGTACAGATCACATTATATAGATTCAACCACTTTCAATTATCAAATTTGTTAATTAAATTAGGTGAGACAAATTTGAGAATAATCATGAATATTCGGTGTCATTAAAATGAAATTTTGCATATAATTATTATTCTTTTTAAACATTCGTTGTTTATAAATAAATAATTGAAATTGTTTAAACTTGCGGAAACCTTATTTTTTAGGCACAAAATCGGTTTTGGTAAAATTCTGAATATGAATAAATATGTTACGATTCCGAACAAATGCTTTTTGTGGTGGAAAATTAATTGTTTATAAACTATTTATAGAAAATGCTCGTAATTTTCAAATAATTGAAATTTTTTAATTATTTCATTAATCTTTCTCCAAAAGTACGGTATCCATTTTTTCACATTTTAACAATGTTTTCTAACGGTCATTATCGAGATTCAAATTCAGTGTATAGTTTAAATGATAAAATCATTGTAAAATATCCGGAAACTTGAGGTTAAATGAGGCTGAAATGAGAGCTCTGATATTTAATTACAAAAGTAAAAAAGCACTTCATTGGAGAAAAACCAGCCAAAGTAGCCTTAAGGATATCTAAGTATCTGTTATTGGTACAGACTCCACAAAAGATTGAACCACTTTCAATCACCAAATTTGTTAATTAAATTGCGTGAGAAAAATTTGAAAAAAATAAATAAATATCCAGCATCATTAAAATTACATTTTGCACAGGATTATTATTTTTCTATCACATTTACTGTTTGTAAATAAATAATCGAAATTGTTTAAACTTTCGGAAATCCAATTTTTTTAGGCATAAAATTGATTTCTGGTACAATTTTGAATATGAATAAATTTGTCACGCTTCCGAACAAATTCCTTTGCGGAATTCGAATAATTTATCACTAGATTACGTACTGAAATATTGGAAGTGCATAAAACAAATCCTAAAAACAATAAATACTTGAAGATTGGCGATTCTTCTACGCGATTTGAGTGAGTTCATTTGCGACGAAATCATACTTGAGTGCAAGAATATTTTAAATCATGAGACCTTTCTCGAGCCCCGCAAGTTGAAAGGTTCTGGTAGATTTTGACCCCTTTTGACCCTTTAGAACCTTCCGAAAATCTCGCAACTCGATTTGTTCCCACTTTTTTTCCCCCATATTTCACACATTATAAACTTTTACAATCGTCTCTGCAATACCCGAGGACTTTCAAATGTCACCGCAGTCTCCCCTCAAAAAATTGTTTCAAATTGTAGTGCTCTAGTTGATACCAAAACCAAATAACAGACCGAAGGTGCAACGTCATTCAAAACCATCTACGTTTTAACATTCTTCTTTTTTAATTCCAAAAAACAAACAATTTTCAAAATTTAACTTCGAATTCGGAGATAAATAGACTTAAATCATCAAATAAAAGAAGAAAAAAATGTATAAAATGTCTTTATTAAAGTAAAAGTCAATAAATATCATTGAGTTTTGAGCGATTTGTATGGTAGCTCGTTAATATGTAAATGTTGTATAAACACAAATGAAATTGTAAGAGAACCGAACCGAAACAGGTATAATACATATTCAAATCGGCTAAACTGTGTGAATGGACCACACGCAAGTTGGGGGGCCCCACCTGTAAACGTCCTCAACCGACAACTTCATTAACTGACCCCCCTCCCCCCCGAACTGTCTCTCACTCCATCTCTCTTTTATTCTTATGGTATTCCTCTCACCCCCTCGCCTCATGTCTTGTTTTCATCTCGTTTATTTTTCTCCTTCTTTTTTTTGGCATATAATCGTTGCTCCCGGGTGGGATTTGTATTTTTAGCTGGTCGATTCTCAGAATTTTTGCACCGGCTATATCCCAACACGAAAAAACCTCCATAGTAGAGGAAGATACGAATCTTTTTTTTTTATTTTCTCAGCGTTTCTCTTTTTCTTTTCCTTTCTTTTATAAAAGACGCCGAAAATGCCGTTCGTATAATTGGCTCACGAGCGATAATTTGACCCGAGTGCTCGCGATCGTTAAACTTTTTTCATTTTCGGTGCCTTTTTTTTGTTTTTATGTATCTTTACATCCTCGCAACGTCTCTGAGGCCCAACGAGATGAAGATTTCTTTCTACCTTCTTAAACACTAACGCGGCACCGGCACTCTGTTTATTTTCACCCTGACACCGGTGTTGAATTTGCATTTAGTACTTATACGTATTTCTTGATAATTGTCTCAATCAGAGTTTTACTGGTGCTTACATTTAACATCTCAATTGGCGCGAAACAGTCGTAAAAATAACATTTACTTACGATGATAAGGAGTCGGATAATTGCGGAAAAAAAAATGAATAAAATAAATAATCAGTGTCGTGTTGTAACCGCTCAAAGCGCGTGTAAAGTCCCTGTAACGAATAGTTTGATACATTGGATAGATAGGGAAGGTAGATGTTAAATAAATAAAAAGTCAATGAGACCGGTTGGCTCGACAGGTGAGGTCTTTTCCTCGGGTGCATGGCCAGGTACACACAGGTGTGCAATCTGCAAGTGCCCCATGGCATTAAAAAAAACGAGGGGAAAATGGAGGAGAAAAAAATCAAGGCGCTCTGGTTCGCCAGCTCTACACACTTGCTTGTGTAGATGCACTGGTTATCATGCACATTTTCCTTCTGTACTTTTGTCTCTCTGATTTTTAATTTTACAGTTTATTTTTGGGTTTTTATCGTGAGCTGAGGGCGCCCCGATGACTTGAAATGTATCCTAAAAATTGCATCAGCTTGTGTTTTACCGATATCGGGAGTCGAATCAGGATTGGGATCAATAACTTGAGAGATTTTTCGATAGAAGCTAATTTTACGATGTCCATGAGCTTTATGACAAAAATTTTTCTCGTTACCGGCGAAAAACAACTGATGTAGCTCATATGATTGCAACCCTCCCCTTCACCCAAAAAAAAGGTTGTTTTGAATCAAATAAAAATGTTTATTCGACATTTTTTCGTTATTTCAGGAATATTTTTGGTACGAATGAATAAACTTGTTGACTTGTTTCAAGAAAAGGGATTTAATTATATTAAACAAACAATTTATTCATTTGAAATGAATGAATTGACTTCAAAAAATAAATGAAATTGACAAACAATTTATTCATTTGAAATGAATGAATTGTTTATTCGGTTAAAAAAACATTTAAAAAAATGATTAAATTATTAAATTATTCAATGATTTGGGTTGAATGTTTTTTTTTTTAAATCGAATAAACAATTTATTTACTTCAAATAAATAGTTTTCTTATTCTAAGAAAATCACATTTTCAGATATTTTGTGAAAGAATTTTGAAAGTGTGTTGCAACAATATTCGCGGGCTACGTAGAAAAAGGTCGTATTGACCATTTTGGTTGTTTCAGGCCAATCAAATGGAAAAAAGTCGTGTGAATTTAATTCATGAAACGTGAAATCTGGCCGATTTGAGCTCTCTAGAATTATTCTGATCCAATTTTTGATTAAACACTTTTCACTCCAGTATATATGACCTTCTTTCACCATCGTCTCCCTGATAGTGAAACCATGACATATTGGATATCCTTAACCCTAGCCCGGGGAGCGATTTTGCGCATTTTTCTCCAACTAAAACTTATTATTTTTCTCCCGTTTGGAGGCACTTCTGAACCGCAAAATGGCCCATGGCGGGGAATAACGATCACATGAATGGCTAAATTTAAATTCCCGCCATTTTAGTCTACCATTCATGCAATTGTCATTCCCTTCCACGGGTCATTCTGCGGTTTAGAAGCGCCTCCAAACGGGAGAAAAATAATAAGTTTTAGTTGGAGAAAAACGCGCAGTGGTAAACAAACGCGACCCTGCGACTCTGGTCACCTCCGCGGGGATTCCCCGTGTTATTTAGGCTCTAGCGTTGGCGAATTCACTCTACACTGCCGGGCGCGTCTAGCGAGGTTCCGGCAACGTCGCGTCATGGACAATTTCATTTGACATGGGAAAAAATAACTCATCTGTTCGAAATGATTTGTTTTCTATAGGAATTTCGGAAAATATGTTATTCTAAAAACTACTATAATTCTTTAGACACTTCAATTGACAAAGTCAATTTTTTTTTATTCTTCCGGTCAGGCAGTCAATTGTAATTCAAGAAGAACGACGCGGGGCGGTGTTTCCTTCATGCGGTGACCAATCTGGGGTTAATCTAAAGAATCGTTTGAATTCTACCAATTGTTAACTTTGTCCTCTTTATTGTACCCAATCAGGAAGACGTGGAACCCCCTATATATTTCGATTGACTGACTACTCGATGTGTGAGAATCTGGAACTATGAACATAACCTAAAGAATTGTCGATATGAACGCGTGTAAACTTGTTAACCAATGAGATATAACCCAAAAATTTCCAATATTCTGGATTC